TCCAGAGTGGGAGTCACCCGCTCTCGCAGCTGAGCTATGACAGCAACTACTAAATCTCAGATTTTTTTATATAGATAGGTGGAGAGTAAAGTGCGGGGTGAACTAACCAATCAGAGGACAGGGAAGATCTGCCACAGGCCACGCCTCCAGAGTGCCAAAAGCCCTCACAGCCAAGCGAGCGGAATTAGAAACCGAGCGCGCAGAGGCTGCCGAGCGCGCAGAGAGGCTGCCGCGCGCGCACGTTTTCCTCTGCCGTGTGCTCGTTGGCAACGCGCGCACGCAGGTTTGTCACTTGTGCACATCCTTGTGCGCTCACAGACACAGTTTGCTCCCTCTCAGTGCACAAATGACCTCTCGCCATGTATATTTTCGCTCGCGAGTCCCGTTCACGCGTGCGCTGCCATGTATATTTTCGCTCGCGAGTCCCGTTCACACGCGCGCTGTGGACCCAATGCGCGTGCACGGGTTGTGGCACGGGTCTGACGCGATAGATGTGGAACCTTCAGACTGAGCAAAGTTTGGGAGTTTTTAAGAGTTTGAAAAACGCCTCCCGCCGAGAGGCTCCCAGTCGGGGAGAGGAGGAGATGTGCGCAGCATGAAGAGCGCAAATATTAGATAAAATGTATAATTGCCGGCAGGTCTGGTCTTTGTTGACTGATCACTTTGTCTGGTAATGACTGACTCTGATTATGAAGCAGAATATTGACTGATGAAGAAATTCACTCATCCAGCCGGGACGATTGACGCTGCTGCAGCATCAGACAGCTGGTGCTGCACGAGAGGTGTGTGGAGTTTACAATTCCAAACGTTGGGTTTGATGTTGGTTTAACCTTCTTTGGGACGTGATGGATGTAGAAATGATAGTAAAACACCGCAAACGTGACAGACGTAGCAACAATGTAAAAAAAAGCCGTAAAAAGGGGCAGATGCCTATGCGTTATGTTTGGAAGTCAAATGTGCCACATAATCATAAAAAAGTAAGATATAAAATTTTAAAAGAGATTCATATATTTATATATAAATAAAGACTTTCAAAATATAATGAAAATTTCTAAATAACGTAAAAATTCAAAGGAAAATCTGTTGGTCAGTCTGAAAAGTTTGGGAACTACTTCTCTAAGTGATAAGTGACTTTTGTTTTTTAAATGTATTTTATGTGAAGTTTTTTAGGACTTTTATGTTTTCTGTAAAGATTGGTATGCTGAAAATCATTTAATGTTTTGCATAAAGCATGAGGTTTTGGTTAGTAATTGATTGGAAGAATAACAAATGACTGATTTAAATAGTGGGTCACCTCTGTCAGTGCACCCCAGGGCAGCTGTGGCTACATCGTAGTTCATCACCATCAGTGTGTGAATGTCTGTGTGATTGGATGAATGATACACTGTAGTGTAAAGCGCTTTGGAGTCCTTACTCTGAGATGCGCTATACAAGTGTTTATAGTGTTGATCAGGTAGAGCTTTGTTGCCAGCGTTCCACTGCATAATGGCTTCAAACACATTTTTACGTAAACCATTGGAGGAAATTACACACACTGACTGAGCTCTATTTAAGGTGCTTGCAATAGTTTGTGTGTGTGTGTGTGTGTGTGTGTGTGTGTTTGTGTTGTGTTTGTGTGTGTGTGTGTGTGTGTGTGTGTGTGTGTGCGTGTGTGTGTGTGTGTGTTTGGGGGTGGGTACATTGAAACTTTGTCCTCCCCCCAGTTTGAAAATACTATCTGTGCCCCTGGATCCACTCAACCGTTGTTTTCAGGCTGGAAGTGCCTGCCCACCTCTGTTAGCTTTGGTTAGCTCAGTTAGCTTGTATCTACATCATCTCAAAGTTTGTTGGGTGTCAATCATCTGCCCCCACCCTCAGAGCCCTGCCCTCAGCTCAATTTTGTATTTTCTGTAAAAACTTTTACAAGACACCATGCCGGCAAACCAGTGTAACATTATCGCAATGTTGTCTCATAAACAGGTCATGCCGGTGTCGGTACAGGATCTACTCGGGTGCAGGATCGGCTCGGGGTCCTTCGACTGCACATTACTGTACATCTACTCGGCTTTCACACATACGTTTTGGAAAGACATCAGCAGTTTTGTTAATAAATTCTTGTTTGTTAACACCTAAATATTTTCTTTATAATTGTAATTTGTTAATAAAACACCACATTATCTTTGTTTTGTAAAGAATGTGAAACCGCATAAAACCAACATCGGACTGACAAAAAACAGTTCTTATATGTGAAGCCATATCTGTTTGTATTAATGTGGTGTTCGTCTGTATATTACCTTAGTTGTTATCTAAATACATTCTTTGAGTCAAAATATTGCTTGGTGTCTTTCAATAAAGTTCTTATATTTTATTTTGCCCCATTTCATCAACATCAAGAGCTTTTGAGGGTCACCGTTTATCATTTGCTTATATTTTACATTTCCTTTAGAAATTCAAACATATTTTCTCCAAAAAGTGTCGATTTATGGACTACAGGACTACAGCCGCTAAGACTACGACCGCAAATTTGTTCTGACCAATCAAAATCATAACGTGATAACATCACTTCCGTAAGCTTCATGTTCAACCAATCAACTCCTTTGACGTCATCCCCAGTCGAAGGACCCCGAGCCGATCCTGCACCCTAGCAGATCCTGTACCGACACCGGCATGGCCGCCTCACTTGGACTAATATTGCGATAAATGTCTGTTTCATAAATGACGATTGTGCCTTGGCGCAACAGAGGGAGGTGTCATGATGACGTGGGGAGTTCCTGCTGAGCTCCGACCGGCAAATAACAGGCCGTAAAGTTAGCGTTTCAAATAAAATCAACTGAGATGGCAAACTGTAGCGCTACAGCGCTCGAGCTTCTCTCTGTTAGAGCTGGAGGTCAGATCACCAGAGACTGTCAGGAAATGTCGAGGACAGACACCTTTAAGAGCAGCTTGTTAAAAAAACATAATGAACGCGGTTTTGATCGCAATAAAAAACAAGTTATGTTCAAGATAAATGGAAGTTAGCGCCAGCGCAGAAACCACCCCCACCCCCTTTATGCCGCTATTGCCCAATCTTTGATAAAAAGGATACGATTGCACCACATCGCCGCTACAGTCTGACCACTTATAAACAACCTAAGGCTCCGTAATGCCACCACAGTGTTGCTGCTAATTGATGGCATTGTTTTGTAAGATTTTGTTTAACTTGTGAGTGACTTGGCCAAGATGGCGATGGTGAGAGCCCTTTGGGCTTCGGTAAATCTCTTCATAAACCTACGCCTGACAGCATGGAGCGTTTGTCCATGCAAACTCAAACTAGACATTTGTTGGACACATTCAATGTTATCGTGAGATCTCGTTCCTTCAGAATGAAGGCGGTAAAGAAATGCTGCCACCTAGCAGTCAAAGTTTGAATTGCAGCACACAAAAGAAATACAGTACATTTTTGCATGTAAATTCTCTATTAAAACTGTCAATAACACTTTTTTTAAATACTGATCCAGGATAACATGAAACTGATTTTTCTTGCACCCCTAGGTTAGGTTTTATGCATCAGCTAATAATTTGGTCATCCTCAATGGGTGGAAATATTTGAATTTTCAGATAAGTTTGAAATGGAAGAAGGGATGTCAAAAAACGGATGATGAAATATTATTGTTAATAATTAAAATAGTATAAAATAATAAACATTTGTGAGCTGCTTTAAATAAAAGTGTCTGACAAATGCATGAATATAAACATCGACACTTTACTGTGAAAATGTTTTCCACATCGCCGTGTCTCTCTACCTTTTCTACTAAAGTTGCATTACCAGATCAAGCAGCAGCTCAAAAATGATCCTTTACTGGTATTAAACCATAATGAAATGCTGCTCCATCACACCATCAAACTTGTTTTTAGCTGAGAAACAATTAGAGCAAAAATTATCCACACTGTGTTTAAATATGAGACATGGGGTGGATGCTGTCAGTGCGCCCCAGGGCAGCTGTGGCTACATCGTAGCTCATCCCCACCAGCGTGTGAATGTGTGTGTGAATGGATGAATGATACACTGTAGTGTAAAGCGCTTTGGAGTCCTTACTCTGAGAGGCGCTATACAAGTGCGGATCATTTATCATTTAACCCAAAACATAAAACAGTTTGTTTCTATTCACTTGTTTTATTGTAGTTATTGTAATCCAGGACGTTTAATGTCATAAATGCAGCAAGACGTGTTTGCTCTCTACAAATTGAACACATAAATACAGAGCATACTCATTTTGGCATTGATGATTGTTTGCAAATGAATAAAACCCCTTAAGAGAATTTTTAGGGACAGGAATGAATGACACTGTAATGTTATATTGCAGCATGTGTGTTCTTCCGGCTTGTATTTTGCATACATAACTAAGTGAGTGTGATAAGTGTATCCAAACTCATCTGCATATTTTGCCACCCTCTGTTGTTTGCACAGGCATCACAGTGTCTGAAAGAGAGAAAAAGACACAAAATCAATTTATTTTATTTTTTATTTTTTTGCAGACACAAGCATCTGCCTGCACAGTTATGATTCCCTTGTTCTCATAAGGCCCCGTGAATGTGAACAAAGAAATATGAGCTGCTCGTTTTCAAGTGTAATGCATTATTTTATGAGGTGTGCCACCTGGTTTTCTTGATTTGTGTTTAATCTCAACCCCAGTGTTACCAGTAACCTCCATTCCAGTGAGCTACTTTTTAAAATATAATTAAGACAGTCTGTGACACACAAATGCAAATGCATGTATGTTTATGAAATAGGGTTATTTAAAAGTTTCAGTAAAAGAAATGTTTCACATATTTTTTTTCTGTGTCACCAGTGAAGAAATTCCACACAATTCTCATTTTCTCACTATTCCTAATGACATTGGCAGGTGTAAAAATCATATCTGGTTTGCATCTGTTTCTTCTCTCCTTCATGTTTCCTTTTCATGGTCATTGTCACTGCTTTGTCTACACCTTCATCTTTATTTATCCAATCTTCTGTCTCTCTCACTTTCGCTTGCTCCCAGGCATCGGAACTCAAGATGGTAGTGCGAAGAAGGATGAAGACTTCAAGGGAAAGTCCCAGAAGCAGGTCCAGTTCAACCCAGGGCAGAGCCAGGCTACGTGGCGAGTTCAGATCCTGACTGATGGGAAGTACGAGCAAGCGGAGACCTTTCAGATTTTGCTGTCGGAGCCTGTGATGGGGGTGATGGAGTTCCCTGCAACTGCAACGGTTGAGATCCTGGATCCCAGTGATGGTCAGCACCACCATTACTAGAATAGAATAGAATAGAATAGAATAGAATAGAATAGTCTTTATTGTAATTGCTCATGGCAATTAAATTACAGATGGTCCGCCATCAACATTGCACAAGACAATAAATAACAATTAATGTCAAAACCATAGAGGACTAAAAACAATTTTAAAACATTTAGCAAACACCAAGAAAGCGCAGTGCAACCAGTGATTCAGATCTGCTAAAACAACAATTTAAAAGGATTTAAAACAGATTAGTCCACATTACTGATAGGGATGTGGGGGGTTGAATGGTGCTGTTGTGTTGAATGTTCTGACGGCCCAAGCTGTTGGAAAGTCTGGTGGTATGTGATTTAACTGACCTGAAGCGGCGCCCTGAGGGCAACAGGTCACCCTCTGTTGTTCGCACAAAACATCCTGCATTCAGCACAAAATTTTAATTTGAAACATTTTTAGGTAAAGTGGCAGCCCTCTCCCTTGGCTGCAACCTTACTGTGGAGGAGGGGTTTGAGTGTCTCAATGATCCTAGGAGCTAAGTTGTCTGAGGCTTTCTGCCTCTGGTAGGGTCACCCATGGCAAACAGGTCCTAGGTGAGGGATCAGCAGCCCGAAGACCTCTTATGATGAATTATATGAATGGAAACCGTGTCCCCTCGCCCGGACGTGGGTCACCGGGGTCCCCCTCTGGAGCCAGGCCTGGAGGTGGGGCACGTTGGCGAGGGCCTGGTGGCCGGGTTGTCACCCATGGAGCCCGGCCGGGCACAGCCTGAAGAGGAAACGTGGGTCCCCCTTCCCATGGGCTCACCACTCGTGGAAGGGGCCAAAGGGGTTGGGTGCAGTGTGTGACGGGTGGTAGTTGAGGGTGGGGACCTTGGCGGTCTGATCCTCGGCTACAGAAGCTGGCTCTTGGGACATGAAATGTCACTTCTCTGGTGGGGAAGGAGCCTGAGTTGGTGTGTGAGGTTGAGAGGTTCCGACTAGTTATAGTCGTACTCACCTCAATGCATGGCTCTGGCTCTGGAACCAGTTTCCTTGAGAGGGGTTGGACTTTCTACCACTCTGGAGTTTCTTCCACTGAGAGGCACCGAGCAGGGGTGGGCATACTAGTTGCCCCCCACCATGGTGCCTGTACATTGGGGTTTACCCCAGTGAATGAGAGGGTAGCCCCCCTTCGCCTACGTGTGGGGGGACGGGTTCTGACTGTGGTCTATGCTTATGCACCAAACTACAGTTCAGACTACCCACCCTTTTTGGAGACCTTGGAGGGGGTGCTGGAAAGCACTCCTTCTGGTGGCTCCCTTGTTCTGCTGGGGGACTTTAATGCTCACGTGGGCAACGACAGTGGGACCTGGAGAGGTGTGGTTGGGAGGAACGGCCCCCCAATCTGAATTCGAGTGGTGTTTTGTTATTGGACTTCTGTGCCAGTCATGGATTGTCCACAATGAACACCATGTTCAGACATAAAGGTGCTCAAGGCACCAGGATACCTTACGCCGCAGCTCGATGATCGACTTTTTTGTTGTTTCATCTGACCTGCGGCCGCATGTCTTGGACACTCAGGTGAAAAGAGGGGCGGAGCTGTCAACTAACCACGATCTGGTGGTGAGTTGGCTCAGATGGTGGGTAGGATGCCGGTCAGACCAGGCAGGCCCAAACGTATTGCGAGGGTCTGCTGAGAACGTCTGGCAGAGTCTCCTGTCAGAAGGAGCTTCAATTCCCACCTCCGACAGAACTTCCAAAATGTTCTGGGGGAGGCGGGGGACATTGAGTCTGAATGGACCCTGTTCCATGCCTCCATTGTTGAGATGGCAGACCGGAGCTGTGGTCGCAGGATCGTCGGTGCCTGTCGTGGTGGCAACCCCCGAACCTGCTGGTGGACACCGGCGGTTAGGGATGCCGTCAAGCTGAAGAAAGAGTCCTATCAGGTATTTTTGGCCTGTGGGACTCCAGAGGCAGCTGACGGGTACCGGCAGTCCAAGCGGAACGCGGCTCGTTTGGTAACCAAGGCAAAAACGTAGGCATGGAAGGAGTTCGGTGAGACCGTGGAGCAAGAATTCCGTACGGCTTCAAGAAGATTCTGGTCCACCATCTGGCGCCTTGGGGGAAAGCCGTGCGCTGCCAACACTATCTATAGTGGGGACGGTGTGCTGCCGACCTCTACTCAGGACGTTGTGAATCGGTGGGCAGAATACTTCGAAGACCTTCTCAATCCCACCGACACGTCTTCCAGTGAGGAAGCAGAGTCTGGGGACTTTGGGTTGGCCTGTCAAATCTCTGGTGCTGAGGTCACTGAGGTGGTTAATAAGCTCCTCTGTGGCAAGGCTCCAGGGGTGGATGAGATCCGCCCGGAGTTCCTTAAGGCTCTGGATGTTGTGAGGCTGTGTTGGCTGACACGGTTCTGCAATATCGCGTGGACATTGGTGGTAGTCTAACTGGACTGGCAGACTGGGGTGGTGGTCCCCTTATTTAAAAAGGGGGACCGCAGGGTGTGGGGGGGACAGCAGGGTGTGTTCCAACTACAGGGGGATCACACTCCTGAGCCTTCCTGGTAAGGTCTATTCAGGGGTTCTGGAGAGGAGGGTCCATCTGACTGCTGATCCTCAGATTCAGGAGGAGCAATGTGGTTTTCATCCTGGCCGTGGAACACTGGACCAGCTCTATACCCTTAGGGGGATCCTTGAGGGTGCGTGGGAATTTGCCCAACAGTCTACATGTGTTTTGTGAATTTGGAGAAGGCGTTTGACCGCGCCCCTAAGGGTGCCCTGTGGGGGGGGGGGGGGGGGGTACTCCAGGAGTATGGGCTACCAGGCCCTCTGATACGGGCTGTTAGGTCCCTGTATGACCGGTGTCAGAGCTTGGTCCACATTGCCGTCAGTATGTCGTGCTCATTCCCAGTGAGAGTTGGACTTCGCCAAGAATGCCCATTGTCACCGATTCTGTTCATAACTTTTATGGACAGGATTTCTAGGCGCAGCCAAGGTGTGGAGGGCATCCATTTTGGTGGCCTGAGAATCAGGTCTCTGCTTTTTGCAGATGATGTGGTCCTGTTGGCTTCATCAGAATGTGATCTTCAGCTTTCACTGGAGCGGTTCGCAGCCGAGTGTGAAGCAGCTGGGATGAGAATCAGCTCCTCTAAGTCTGAGACCATGGTCTTGATTCGGAAAAGGGTAGAATGCCTTCTCCAAGTCAGGGATGAGGTTCTGCCCCAAGTGGAGGAGTTAAAGTATCTCGTGGTCTTGTTCATGGGTGAGGGAAAACTGGAGTGTGAGATGGATGGGCGGATTGGTGCTGCATCTGCAGTGATGCGGGCGTTGTACCGGTCTGTCGTGGTGGAGAGACAGCTGAGTCAGAAGGCGAAGCTCTTGATTTACCGGTCGATCTATGTTCTTTCCCTCACCTATGGTCATGAGCTTTGGCTAGTGACAGAAAGAACGAGATCGCGGATACAAGCGGTCGAAATGAGTTTTCTCCGAAGAGTGGCTGGGCTCTCCCTTAGAGATAGGGTGAGAAGCTTCGGCATTTGGGAGGGGCTCGGAGTAGACCCGCTGCTCCTCCACATCGAAAGGAGCTAGTTGAGGTGGCTCAGGCATCTGGTCAGGATGCCTCCTGGACGCCTCCCTGCTGAGGTTTTCCGGGCACGTCCAACCGGCAGGAGACCTAAAGGTAGACCCAGGACACAGTGGAGGGACTATGTCTCTCACCTGGCCAGGGAATGCCTTGGGATTCCCCCGGAGGAGCTGGCCCAAGCGGCTGGGGTAGAGGGAAGTCTGGGCCTCTCGCGTTAGGGTACTGCCCCCGCAACCCGACTCCGGATAAGCAGATGAAAATGGATGGATGGAACATTTTTAGCTTGTTTTCAGCTTCATATTACAGTTATAAGTGAAGTTGTCGTTTGTTAAAGGGCCTGTATCAGGCTATTTTGCACCTTCCTTAGCAAAGATGGGCACAATGAATGGTAAAATATTATCATTGGCACTATTAGGATGTCATTTTTTTATGAAATATAACTTATTTTTTAAGCCATTCAACCTGAAAATCAGACGCTTGGATTGGATGAAACCTGCCTCCTCCATGGGAATTCCATAATAGTACACAGCTGCACACTCGGCGATTCACGCCTGGTGTTGTTTCATGCTGTAAAGTGCAGACTAGATACGAAGGAAATATCTTCTTCACAACCGTGAATATTAAACACCCTGCTAGCTTCAAACTGGGTCATAGTGTATACAGTCCAGGGAAGGAGGGTCCAAACTTAAGAGACTACCTAGAAGGGGAGGAGCGGGCCTCAGTGACCACTATCCAGGATTCATTGTGAGCCTAACGGGAGTTTTTGTTCTTGTAACAATCGTGGACATAGCTAGAAAGGGTCATAGTTTTAAATGGTAGTGTATTAATATCTGGTGGTTAAAAACATATTAAAAATAAAACATTGGTTGTGTTGTTAGGCTTCTTTTTAATCACAATTTTTGCTCTTTAAATACATTTTTTGTCAAAAATTATAGGAAAAATACCATAATGTGCCCTGCCAAAGTTTTTCATGTATTGCCGCTTTGTTTGGTTTCAACTCTAGTTGTTGCTAGACAACTAAACATATGCTGTGGCCATCCATGGCAATGCCTTCTTAAGGCAAAGGCCTGGTAACTCTGCCATTCAAATTACCCCCTGAGAACCGAGCCAATCAGTGCTGAGCAGCGTATGTCACACATTGCGACGCTCAGTTTCTCAAAACAACAAAGATGGCGTCTGAAGCGGAGTTCACTGCTGCTTTTTCCCCTGTTCTAAATGACTTGGACATGTCTTCAAAACCACAAGAAGAAATGCTAAAATCTTTCTTCTAAAGAAAGGTGCTTGCATCGTCGCCAGACGCCATCTTTTACTACAGCTAAAAAACTACAAGCGTCGAGCGATACAGTTGTCATTTCCGCCTTTTTTCTAATTGGTTATTTTTGAGATGGCTAGTCCCGCCCCACATGGAGCTCTCTGCCTCTGAGTATCCAGAGCT